CTGGCATCTAAACAACAATCGGCCTACAATGATCAAATCCCTTTATAAAAGCATGCAACGCTATAAACACATACAAAAATTCGTTCTCAGGCGTTTTCTTCATTCGAATATGTGAACCAGGGTATGTCTTATCCAAGGTATACAAGTATCCAGGTAGCTTCCCATAAGACGCAGCTGGTTGCCCCATTATCGATTCTAATGCCTTCTCTTTTGCTCGCCATGCCAACATGTAGTTAATATCAATACCCAAGTCCAATCTAACGTCATCCCTGATATCATTTAGAGTGTACTTCCTCTTGTGATTTATCAATTTAGGTGCGATTATTCCTCCAATCAATCCACTTGTTACACGACAATCTGAATGCACCCCATCCTTTAAAGGACATGTATGTTCAGAGTTAAAAACTCTAATTCTGAACATCTTCGACTTGTTAATACTTGACGCTTTCATCAGCCATGGGCATTCTTTAGATTGACATACAAGAGTATAGTTGCGAATTCAATTTATATTGTTTTATTAGTTCTGCTTTGCATCTGCAAACATAACTCAATACACTTAAAATGAAACAAATTTAACAACAATTTACCTTATAGAGTTTGACCTCTCCACCAAGAATTTAAACCTTTTTTCAATTGAATACTTTTCCATCACATCCTTCAATGTCGACTTATCCATGTATATCTGATCAATCATTATCTCCTTTTGCGATCTGTTCGTAATTATTAAATCATTTCCAACATCAAATGCATCTACTGGTTGATCGCCAAACGTTGGGACAATTGGTAATGTATCATTCGTACCAATTAATTCTTGATTGTATTCAAGTTGCAACACATCACCTTCAATAGAAGTTTCTCCAGAATCAGAATATACTATATCAATATCAAAAATACTTACACATAAGGGATATACTCCAAATTGAGTGTTGATCTTTTTCAACTGAACATATACGCGCACACCCATGTCGTTACGTATTTCCATAGGCATGTCGTTACCTTCGACAGTGTATTTGATTTTGATACACTTTTTTGTAAGATCGACGTTCAATTGTACCGAAATCAAATCAACTAAATCAGAATACGAAGCATATTCCTTCAACACTATCCCGTCAATGCTATATTCTACATAGCAATTCTCTTCGCTCCATTTTCCAGAATGCCGAATCAAAACTGTGATAGTAGCCATGGTTGATCGCCAAACGTTGGGACAATTGGAATTGTTTTTTTGCTTTTGGCGTGAAATGAAAAGGAAAGAAGGAACATATTTTCAATTTTAAACTGATCAGAATCCTATACCTTATAGGTCAGTTACATTTTTTAAAGTGCCAAATTAGTGGGTTTAAGGGCTGGAAAATAGCCTTGTCAGTTACATTAACTGACCTCATTTAGTGGGAGTTAATTTTGAATGTATTTTTGTATTAAAAAAAAATAAAATATTTATGGAATTTAGCTATTTTTTAAGTCAAACTGTAGCTATTTTTTTAAAATATGATACTTATAGCTATTTCAATCTAATAACCCTAAAACTATAGTCATTTATGTAAATTTTACTTTATAATATATGTTATGTTTGATTGGAATTAAATTTTAAAAATAGAAAGACTTTTGAAATATGTAATTTATTATTATTATTATTATTCAATTTTTCTTAGTTAATTTTTCTCTAACATTGTGCTAAGATGGATATCATACGGGGGCGAATCTACGTAGAAGGATGGAATGTCAAGACATTTGAATGTTTCGGTTGAGTTAAAAAGGGATGTTAAAAAGGATGTATAGCCTTTGTAAGATTGACTATGACACATAAATTGAAATTAAAAAGTAAAAATAATATCGGTTAAATTTGAGTTGAATCGAACCAAATTAAATTTTTAAAATTAGTAGAATCGAATCTTAATAAACCTTAGACTATCTTTTTAATGATGAATCCGAATCCGAATGAATATTAATTTTCTATTATTTATTAATTAACATGTTAGTTTCTATATTTTTTATATATTAATCTGAATTTAATTATCAATTTTAATTATCAGAGAATTAAATTACAAAAAATATTAATACCTTTAAATTTAATTGTGCTTGTGTCGAACGTTCTTTTAAAAAATGGTTGGATATTTACAGCAATGGTAACACCTCGTAGTACTAAATTCTTAAAACTCAAGAATACAATTAGAGATTTAAATCATTCTCGAACGCCCCAACTATTATTTTTTTTTAATTATAATTATTATTATTATTATAATTATTATTATTATTATTATTATTATTATTATTATTATTATTATTACATCAGAAGGGGTAGTATTTATTTAAAGGCACATGTTTCTCATCTTTAATTTGATTTAACAACCCACATAGCTGTTTTTTTCTTTGTTTGATTAAAAATAGAAATATTCTATCAAACTAATATGAATTATTACACTTTGACGTTGAAGGGTCATTGATAATTTTTTTCTTTTTTGGACTTATTAATGTAACGTTCACGAAGAAAGAAATTAACGAAAGAAAAACGTTTTCTTAAAAATGGTTGGACATACATATTCCTTACATATTTTCTAATCACCAACAAAATAGTAATCGATGGATCGCCTTTTACTTATCTACTATTTTCGAAATATATTTTTATTCTTAACATTCATTCGTTATTTCTCAAAATCTAACACTATAACATTAATTAATATGAGAATTGTAGTTAAATGCTCATATTAAATATTATTTTTTAAAGAACATGTAAAATTCAAAGTGGATAAGTAAAAGTAAATAGTTAGAGTATATAAGAGAGAGACGTAAAACCTTATCTCTGGTGAGCTAGACGGGGAATGAACGTGTTAATTCCTTTCTAAACAAGAAGTTAACGAAACAACTAATTTCGAAATTTGTAATGTAAAATACGTCATAAATATTTGAAATTGACTATAAATCATAATGAGAAGTAATTAAAAGTTAAAATTATCTATAAATTCGAGTTGAAATTGAGACAAAAACAATTTTAATAGTGCTCGTGTTAAACATTATTTAAAAAAAAAAAACGAATGGCCGGCTGGATAGTCCAACGTTCCGACACCACACATTTTTTGTGTTTGTGATTGAATAATGATCAATTACACATCTCTTACTTGATGTGATTGACACTATAAATTTCAAATGCTTACCAATAATTCATATTTCAAAATAACAACTTATCGATTGTTGCTAGCACTCTAAATTCTATTAAACCTCTCTTTTAACCAAATAGCACATTACACGTATGGCGCACACGACTATGCCAATTTCAATAACACATCACAAGCCAAAATTAGTTGTTCCATCAATTGTAACACCCCATGAGATAAAACATCTTTCTGAAATAGATGATCAAGGGAGTACTCGTTTCCATGTTTCTCTATTAATGTTTTATAAATATAATTCTTTAATGGAAGGTAAAGATCCAGCAAAAATTATCAAAGATGGATTATCTAAAACACTTGTGTTTTATTATCCATTAGCTGGTAGACTCATTGAAGGGCCTAATAAGAAGCTTATGGTGAATTGTAATGGTGAAGGAGTGTTGTTTATTGAAGCTGATGCTAATGTGGAGCTTGACAAATTAGGTGACTCTATTAAACCACCATGTCCATATTTGGATTTACTACTTCATAATGTTCTTGGTTCTGATGGGATTATTGGTTGCCCTCTTTTGCTAATTCAGGTAAATAACATTCTATATAAATCTTCTCTAGATATTCTCTATATTACATAGCAAATATTACTAAACTAGTCCTTCGGAATAACTCAGTTGGGTATACATCCCCTGTGTGGTTTGAAGTCTATTACACAGTGGGGAATTTACCCACTGCACACCACAGAGTGCTCACCCGAAGGGCAGAGATTGTAGCGGTATCCTAAACTAGGATAAATAAATTACTAAACTAGAATATCTCTATGTATAGGTGACTCGATTTACTTGTGGTGGATTTGCTGTTGGATTTAGACTTAATCACACTATGATGGATGCATATGGTATCAAAATGTTTCTAAATGCATTAAGTGAATTAATTCAAGGAGCTTCTACACCTTCTATATTACCTGTATGGCAAAGGCATCTCCTAAGTGCTAGATCATCACCATGTATTACATGTATTCATCATGAGTTTGATGAGCAAATTGAATCAAAAATTGCATGGGAATCATTTGAAGACAAGTTGATACAACAGTCATTCTTTTTTGGAAATGAGGGAAGTCATTAAAAAACAGGTTTCTTCAAATTGTAAAAGTACAAAATTTGAGTTATTAGTGGCGTTTTTATGGAAATGTCGTACCATTGCTCTTGATTTGCCCCTTGAAGAAATTGTTCATTTGACATTACTTATGAATATACGTGGAAAGTCACTCAAATTTGAACTGCCACCTGGATATTATGGGAATGCATTCATTACTCCAGCTGTAATATCAAAAGCAGGATTACTATGTTCAAATCCACTGACATATGCAGTTGAATTGGTTAAGAAATTTAAAGATCATTTAAATGAAGAGTATGTTAAATCAATGACAGATCTAATGGTGATTAAAGGGCGACCAGAAATAACCAAATCTTGGAATTTTATTATCTCAGATAATAGATATGCTGGATTTGATGAATTTGATTTTGGATGGGGAAACCCCATTTTTGGAGGGGTTCCAAAAGCTACATCTTTCATTAGTTTTGGTGTGTCTGTTAAAAATGACAAGGGAGAAAAAGGTGTTTTGATAGCTATAAGTTTGCCTCCTCTAGCCATGAAAAAACTTCAAGATATCTACAAGATGACTTTCACAAATATTGAATAAGTCAACAAAAATTCAAAGATGCAAGGCTTTTTCTACCTTTGCACCTCATCAATGCTGTTTTGGGAGTGATTAAATCAGAATTATGGAGCTTGTACTATATGTTCCATCCTTTTTCCTATTTCAATTTATGTGACCGTGTTTGAAAAAATAAACTTTTTGTTTGTTTCTCTTCAATTTGCAGACAAACATAGCACAAATGGTGACTTAGAGTGTAATTTTATGTATAAATCAACTGAATTCCATTTACAATTTACATAAATTGACACACATATTTGGATAAGTACAAGGAAAAAGTCTTGAAGTAAATAAAAATCCTCTTCATTTCAAGCAAAGATTCTATGATGACTTAAGATTCCACATTGTTGATTTCTCCTGAAAATAGAAACAAGAATGCAAAACAAGTTAGTGAGAGTTACATGGATCTATTAGAGCTCAGAAAACTCAAACATTGTGTATATCAATGTATTTAGTAAGATTCATCACTATAAACTAATAAAACGTTTGCATTGGAGGAATCTTAGTAGCTTAGTTGGTTGGTTATCTGAACTTTCACCTTGTTAGTGAGTTCGAGTCCCCATCTTATAATCCCCTACCCCAAAAAAAGATAGATAGTAATTACCTAAAGAAAAAAACTAAGAAAACATATTGAAGACTGCACAGAGGCATCTAACCAAGAATTTTAACTGCTTTTCTGATCACTGTGAATGAAACAGTTTGATTAAGAAATGACAGTGAAGATATACTGTATTACCTTATTCCATGATCACAAATAAAACGGATTTGGGTTTCGATCTACATATGTTGCTCGTACTCTTCAAAAATGCCGATGGTTGTATGTCAATTCCTCCAAAAAGTAGTGTGTTTTTTAAGGATCCGACACAGGTGCAACGGCATTTTTGGAGAAACAAGCAACTTAGGTTTTGATACTTCTAAGAATCAAATATTCTTCAACATTACTTCAAACATATTCAGTATATTTGCTTCATATAAGTTAACCAAGCCAAAAAAAATGGGGGTGGGGGGGGGGGGGGGGGGGGGGATTGAATATCTAGAAAACAATACCATGCATGCATTTGATGAAGTAGTCCAGTTCCGAGAAACATATTGCACTCTGAACCAACGGCGATGGTTGTTGAAATGCAAAAAAAGAGAAACGGTGACGATCAGGATCATTTCTAGGCTTTGCAGTCTCAACCAGCCTCATAAATCCTTCTCTATCATAACATGGAAATGCATTATGACCAGCAACATTAATCTCCTTATCCCATGCTGAATTCATGATCTGCAGAAACAGAAAAGTGTTTAAGACGCAAGAAAAGAAAAAATGAACCCGTGCTTCACTGCTCTCTGAGTGATATGCCCCAAAGGGTGTATCTACGAATCAAACTTCTTTTATTTGCCTCTTTAAGAGAGTTCTCGGAGGAGTGTTAAGAGGCCAATAACCTGCCAACTCAAGCCTTCTGGATCTGCCAACGCGTCATCAGTTTCTGGAACCTGAAGCCCTGAGCTTACAAACTTTATTGTTACAGAGTGCTTTTTGAGAACTTCAAACACTGGAGAATAGCCATCCTGGTTCGTTGGGTTGTAATATCCAGCTGTGAGCTCTGCAGCATGGCTGCTCGTTCTGTACCACCAATAAATTGCTGGAATCTGCAGAAAAAAGAGAAGTGTAATTCACCAGGAAAAAGTATGCCCCTATCCAAGTTCTTCATTAAGATACTGTCAATCTTTTAGACGAACATTTTCACCTATTCAACTACCTAGAACACCATCAATGTGCACCAGCTAAATCAATTTGAATAGCAACAAATAACTCAAAGGAAATATGTTACAAGTGCAGTCTTTCATTATTTTATCATGCTCATTTTTCCTGAATGCTTTGTAACACTTCCTCTATTATCTTTTATGTCTTCTTTACTTCCGTAAATTTTTTTGGTGTGTTACTTGAGCCAAGGGTCTTTTAGAAACAGCATATCTACCTCCTAGAGGTAGGGCCGTAGGGGTAAGTCCGCGTACACTCTACCCTCCCCAGACCTGACATGTGGGATTACACTGGATAGGTTGCTGTACTCTCCCCCGACCCGAACCAGAAGGTATTATCAATTCCACTTCATGAAGGCAAATCCAATTTATATTTGACCAAAAACATCTTAAATATTTTGAACTACAATAATTTTGCTACTTTTAGTATTATTTTTTAGTTTTCAAATCTCAAATTTTTTAATTCAAAAAGATAGAATTTAGAGATTGCATTTCAAAAACTGGTCAAATTGATCCAAAATAAAGAAAGGCTCTTGAGTTTGGAAGCCAAGAGCATAAACTACCAATTTTGAATTATTGGAGATGAAAAGAATAAAAGTTAAGAAATAGAAAAAAAAAAAGCGAAACAGGAGTCAGAAAGTATGACGAGCTGATTTAGACCCATATGTTTACCTTCACGACAATTTGTATCCCCTCAAATGCAAGAGTTGCCAGGGTGAGAACGCTATCAGCATGATCTATTAAGACCTGTCTATACCAATGGAGGAAAAATCTCCCATAGTAGCTATCATAATCACCTCGCTCACAGAAGAATCCAGTTTCATGTGGCTTAGAATTGTAATAACCAGCATTATCAGGTCCCTTGGCCCAGAAAGAGTGTCCCCTTGATGTTGCAGCTTTTCGAAGATTCTGCAGAGAATATTTATCATAGCACTGAAACAGGAAAAGTTGAAGCCAATTAGAGGGGGAGACAATCAAATCAAATAAAAAGGGTTTTAAATTCATGTTCAGGACACCACTATAATAGTTATCTAGTTTAAATTTTTAAAAGGAAACAAGCTATTAATCTGTATACAAAAATACCAATGTGATACACAATTGAAAAAAGTTATCATCATATTCATAAGATAATTGCCACAGCATATTCAAGCCTTTTGTATTTCCCATCCCAACATTATAGACATGTCTACTTAGTAGTCACTTCTTTCCTTTCAACTTTCCTGTATCTTATTATAACAGCTTTGTTAGTAATGCCCTGTGACTTAGCTCTAGATATTAGGTGCTGATGAGGAATCACAGAAAATCTCTATGTAATGTTTTTTACTGTTTGTTTCGCCTCCTTAAAAAGGCTACGCGTTAGTTAGGTACAGTTCTGTAGGATATTTCTTTGGCTACAAATATTACAATCTAAGATAGATAGAATTGATAGTCCCTCATCACTTATATGCAACAGGTTGACTCAAGATGGATAACTATATCATAGAAACCATTACATCATATGAAATTTCTCCTTACAAACCAAAAAAAATAACTACATAAAAACTATCTACTTAGGTTAAATGAAGAACTAAACAATGTCAGACTACGCATTTTCAGGTACACCAAGGTTATCAAACAGACTCAGGGAACAAGATAAGATTGTTTTCTAAAACTATATTCGGTGAAGACCAAGTAATATGACCAAATCACGTAACTATTCATATATCATAGCCTTCCTATAACAGATACCTGAAACTCACCAATACCAGGATACCTCCATCCCATCCTTTCAGAAAAAGAAGGGTACTTTAGCTCCCCAGAAGCTCCAAGTCCAATTTCAATAGCAGAAATTAGACCATCAGTGAACAAGTCATCAAATTCAGTGCGGAAGCTTCTCATCAAATCAAAGTAAACCTGCAATTTTGGATTTCAAACTAGTGATCAAAATAACTAATATTTAGTTCCAATTTAGACTATTACAGCTTTATTTCTTTTTAGTTTTCACTTTTGTCTCAGCATCAGCGAAGGCAATCAAACGGAGAAAACACTCTTTTATGTAGGAAATGATATATCAATCAGACTTCTATTTTTACAAGAGCTGTCAGACTTCTATTTACAAGAGCCACATTACCTTTCACTTCTAAAACTAATCTTGTGGAAAGTTCCTCGGAAATACAAATTATTCATTATCCAGTTGACAATACAATTTACATGATTGGATGATATGTATTAGAGAGATATTCCCTTCAAAGAATCAGGGAACGTTAGCTTTTCTCATTTGAAAGGAATAAAAGGAAAAATTAATACCTCGATGGCAGTTCTACCTCTTAATACTCGTTCTTTGTCGATGCCCCAGGATAGGCATTCAGTGTTCCTTCTTCCTTGACGATCTGTGAAGAATATATCCTGATTGTCTTTGCCTATCTCCAGAACCCACTGAGGAAGGGATATGAACATGCCACTGGTATCACTTCCTCCATTTTCATGAAATGCCATTACAACCTTTGTGGATAAAAGAAGAAATTACATATCTATTAATGGGAATCCGCTCATAAATAGCCTAAACAAGCTCAAGAAATGTCTTAATGCAAACATAAAATGGGAACATAATCAATTGCCGCTTTCTTCTGGTTGGGTTACTTTCCCCTCAAGGAGTGAGGGGAATAATATTCCAGAATATAGATGTAATGAGGCATCGTAAGAATGAATTGTTTGTAAGACACTGAAATGACTAAAGCAGGAAAGGCCAGGGTTCTTTCCACCAAAGGTTGACTAGTTTAAGACTTGTAAGAAATTTGACGAATCAATGAGTATAATATAAACAAAGAGTGGTTTAAGACCTGCAGTTTCATATTGAAATCACGGATTATTTTGAACAATTCTCTGTAGCCAGACCACTCATATTTTTGAGGTACCCAACTTTCAACGATGCCCCACCAGCAATTTACCACAACACCATCGATTTTTAAGGACTTAAGCTGTTGCAACTCCTGTTTAACACCATCAGGATCCATCAACTGGCAGAAATTGTTGATTACACCACTCTGCCACAAACAAAGCCATGATCTAAGTATGGATAATTAGAATGAAAATGGAATGTGTATAGATGTGATGCCAACTGTTTCCTTATGTTTTATTTTGAATGGTGAATATGGAAAGACAATTAAAAATGAGAGAGAAATCTGAAAGCTTGGCCTCCTCCTTTTACATGTAATGAGGAACAAAAATATATTAAGGAAAAAGCTGCTTACAGAAAGCATTACAAAAACAGGGACGTATTGAGTCTCTGCAAAACTACTTCCATGCTCCCCACAGTGAAGTTCTTGCATGAGCTGCAACAAATAACTTGTTAGATATCCTCCGACGGGAGAACAAATGTATCCAGTATACCAACCTTCAAATAAAAATAGCTTACAAATATACAAGCAACCATGTTGTATCAAGAACAACTTAGTCTGTTCTCTGCTGCTGAGATAAAATCATACTACTAGGGTCTTTGAAGCATGAAGAGTTGAACTCAAAATAAACTTCCAAAATGAATGTGAGATATTGAAAGAAGAAAGTCAACATTAAGATCTTCCATTGTTGTTGGGAAAAAGTCAAAACCACTCAAATAAATATGTCGGAAGTGGAACAAGGAATTACTACGTCAACTATGTCATCTCATACGCAGCGTAAGTAGCATGAACACAGACACAGAGAAAATATTTTTTGAGAATTTGCGGACATGACACAAACAAGAAAAGGCATTACATCTTCATATATGACTTCATATGTAGCTTCAATCTAGCCAAAAAAAAATCAAAAAGAAAACATGAGCTGCAGATCCAACATTAATTTCACAGGTTCCTGCATTATATTTAAGTCAGTCAACATCAGTTATAAATAGAGAGACAGAGAGAGAAAGAGGGTGAAAAGAAAATGCATCTAAAATCCTCCAAAAGACAAAAAGAACATAAAACCTGATACTAAACAACTCAAATATAGTAGCAAGTCTCCGCCTCCCCTCTGATTTGGAAAATGGACAATTTGTATCTTCATAAGTTCTCATTTATGCTAAAACAATTCAATTAGTTGTATTAACAGTGCTACATTGCAGTCTAATGAAAAGATGGGAAACGTTTAAGATGGTGGAATACATCATGATAAATAATAAACCCCAAAGCCATGTTGAACATTACTTTTAACGTACATCATCCGCAGCTTATAAGAACTTGATTTACCTGGCCTGCCTCTAAACATCCTGTAGAATTCATTGGACTGGTACTTGTGAATTTATCAACCTTCGTATCACTTTCTGTGACCACAATAGAATCAAAAGATGCAGGCGATAAACTCTCATTGATCCTTGGAACTGATGGCTGACCGTCCACAGATGCTCTGGTTGAGCAATTTCTAAAGGAACTGCCAGAAACTGGGCTCTCAACAGACATCACCTGATAAGTCCCCTATGAAATTTATTCAGTGGTAGTGATAATTAAGACATCATTTTGTTGGCAGTTTAATGTTTAAACAGAATATCAAGAAGATCAAATGCCAATGAGACAAGATGTTGTCTTTGCAGCAGCAGATGCAGTGAAAACAAAATAACTCCAAGATAAAATATGAATTGGTATGTATTATTTCAAAGCAATGTATTTTCAGAAAACGTCTTTAAAAAGACCATATAAACATAGATTCACGACTTCAGAATCTTCCAAACACATTGACTGATTGAAGGTAACATGCCTAACAATGAAATGTACAATCTCAAGAAAAAAGTGTAATATCTGTTAGTAATAAATGGTAATAACAAACGTGTTTGGTTGTTGTATTTTCATTTTTATTCTGTACATTCTACAAAAGAAAATAATGATCTCCTCAATTATTACATTAAGTTACAGTTAGAGCACCACATACACCAAACTATCTAGGTACATCATTTATACTTTGTACGTTGTTTTTTCTTTGTTTTATTTTGTTTTATTTTTTTGATAGCATATACTTTGTAAGTTTCTTTTCTAATTATTAAAAGAAACTTCAGTTCTCTTTTCATCATCCAGCAAACTACACCATAGATCATTCCTTTGGTCGAGTATAGTTCAAGATGGCAACTGGTCAAAATCATCCAACATTTTCTCTATTAAATTAGATACATTTAACTGTTTACTTTTTTCCAGTAAATTCAATATCTTCTACGGCGTAAATATTAGTAAGCTAGGAAAGACTTCACATTCAATATACTCGAGGGTAAATTCTGCTTAACCCATTAACCTTTTGGGTTTGGTGAACAGTACTTTAAAAGGTTTGGGGAACAGTACTTCCTTCGGATTAGAAAGCACAAAGAATCTCATTAAACTCAGAGTCAAGGAGAAAAATAAAAGTCATTCACCGGAATGCCAGAAGGACAAAATGTAGTGAGATCTCTCACAACTCACAAGACCAAGAAATATGGAAGAACGACCTAAAACTAAACACCTTGTCCGCAATGTTGACAAGCTAAAGTAAAATTTTCAAAATTGCAAAGAGTAACACCTTCGAAAGAAGGGTCAAGGTATAATAAATTTTGAAATTCTAGGAAAAAATCGCACAAAGCGATAAAAGCCAAAGGCATGAATATCAATCTAAATTAATACTATTGCATAATTTTTTTCTGTTTTACGACAACAACCAAATGGGATATGGGGAGGGTGGTGTGTACGCAACCTTCCTCCCACCTTATCCCGAATATATTCGTTCCTAATCATATCTCTCCTACTCTGCCCACATATCAATCTCAACATTCTCATTTCCGCTACTTTTATCTTCTAGACGTGTGAGTTATTGACAAGTCAACACTCCACCTCATACAACATAGTTGATCTAAGAACCACTTTACAAACCATCTCATACAACATAGTTGATCTAAGAACCACTTTATAAAACATACTTTTAAGTCTTCATGAACATTCTTATCACATACGACATCGGATGCAAGCTTCCATTTCATCCACCTCAGTCCAATACGACATGTAACATCATCGTCAATCTTCTCATTTCCTTGTATTTATTGACCCAAGATACTTGAAACTTGAAGATGACTTGTGTATCAAACCTCACTTACACATCTACCTCATGAGTTAAGTCACTAAACTTGCACTTCAATTATTGTCTTAGTCTTGCTCAAACTGAACCCATTAGACTCCAGGGTATGTCTCCAAACCTCTGACCAATCGTCAACACAAAAGACATCAATCTATGATGTTTTTTTATAAGAGCGGTGTCCAGCTATTTTGCTTGTTCCTCGACTATTCCACCAAATACCTATTATCTCCCCCTGCACAAGTTCTGGTAACTCTCTCCCACCAACGCTTAGGCGGATAGCAAGAAATCACCTAACATCTCGTCTCTGCAAAACTTTGAACCCCCCCCCCCCATCTCCCAGAGTTTTACCCACTTTGTTGAAACCTAAGCTACACCACTTGGGTCAAAGGGGTTCTCTATCCCATTGAACAGGTAAAAGGGGTACAATTTATTGGATTAAGTGTAATTCACTCTATGCTTCAATAACTAATATTTTTTTCTATCTCTCAAATTGGTTTCAGAAAGTGCATTGCATATAACACTCAAATTATCAAAGGTAAACTGTAAAGACTCAAACTTTGGCAAAAGAACATCAAGTAAAAATCCATTCAGTAGTAAATGTGAAAGTTGACACATAAATTAGAACGAAGGGAGTAATTTCAGTAAATATGAATTCACCATATTTGAAGCATTAGTCGGAGCAGGAGCAGGAGCAGGAGATTGTCTAAAGGTGGTACCATCAGGCTCAACAGTCCAACCGGCTTGCCGAGCAAGTGCAGCAAGGACATCATTCATATCAGCACGAACAGGAAGTGGAAAATTCCCGTACTGACGAAGTCCAGCAAGCATTCGGCTCGTAATTGCTCGCCGGTGACGTTCTCGTAGCTTCGTTCGTTCCTTCTCCTTCTCTCTCTCTTTTCTGCTCTTATTTATGGTTCCGGCGCCAGCAGCGGCGGCGCTTGTGGCGGCGAAGCCGCGGGGACGGCGAGGTTGGGGATGGGATTGGGGCTGAAGAGGGTGATTCGGGTTTGGATCATCATTCGGGTTGGGAAATTGGGGATCCGGATCTTGGGTATTCGAAATGTGGTGATGGGGATGGGGATTGCTCATTGTTGCATGTCCTCTTCAATTTCCTCTATACTCTTTTATAGTTCCAAATTTTAGGGCTTCTGCGAAAAGTCGAATCGAATTGAATTAATTTAAATTGAACTAAATTAAGTGAAAAATAATTGGTAAAAATCGATCAATATATATATTCGTAATCTAGGTGTTTGTTTGTTTGTTTGAGTGTTTTTAGTTTTGTTTAATTATCATTAAAATATTTTGGTATATCACAACTTAATTATCTATATATATTTTTCATTCTTTTGTTAAAGAGCAAGTGATTCAGTAGCGTTATGTTGTAATATAGTTAACCTTAACGTATTTTTGAAGATATATTTTATAATTGAGAAAATGACAAAATCTGAATAAATCAAGTGGAAAATTGACTTTATTGGTTTAATTTGATTCCAACATTTAAAAAATCTATTTAGTTGATTAGATTTTCTTAATTGAAAAAACCGACTTACATCGAACCATGAAAACATTTAATTTCAATTTTGAATAGGGGCAAAATTGTGTTAAGTTGACTATCATTCTAAAATTATTTAATTCTTGATAAATATGAATTAGCATTTTTCTTATGAACAACTATCAAAATTATGTCATTTTTGGAATGGTCCTAATGCTTTCGTCTGTTAAATTTTTTTAAAATTGAAATTGCTCAAGAGTTTATATTATTGGGAAACTATTTTAAATCTACTTAAAACAAAATAAATATTTTTAACATTTTCTCCTTTCCATATTCAAAAATTATATATATACATATGCATCTTTGCAAGTGAAATTTAATCTTTTAAAATATATTTGAAAGGCCATAATAATAAATCAATAATGATGTAGCAAGTCTTTCACATTGGATTTTGGGAGTATCAACATGGCGTTCGATAGGCAATGAAGTTACCTATAATATTGCAACATAATATGAATAGGGGAGTTTCAATATGAGTATTAGATATTAGGTGAGAAATAAAGAAAATTAGATAAGTATAGTATTATTGGTAAATTCAGATTGAGTACAAAATATGTGTAATTTAAATATATATACAGGGGTCGTTTAATACGCGGATTAAATTATTCTGAGATTATAATTTCTAGACTAATATAACTTATTCCACATAAAATATGGAATAACTTACTAATCCCATGTTAGCAGGAATAAAGAGAATTATCTCAAAGATTAAGTCTGAAATAAACTTTATACTATGAGATAATGTATACGATAAATCAAATGCAATATTTATAGTGTAAATCAAATCAAAGCCTCTACAAAATACTCTTAAAGCATAAGTGCTTCATTTATCGATTATATATGATATACAAAATGTAACATAGATTCAAAACACATGAACTTGATAATACAATTCATGTGAGCATTATCAATCATATATTCATTATAGAAATTCAACTTTGAATCATAAACATGCATCACAACATAATCTTTTATCATATGATGATATGAATAATTTCCTTTAGGAAAATGAGTTCTTTAAAAATAAGAAAAATGATTTTTTTAACCAAAGTAGAGAAAATAAGTTACATAAATAACATTCAAGTTTATTATATTTTTCCGACTCACCCCCCACCCCCCCACAATTCCGTTTTTCAAGAAAATATATTTGCGCCAAACACACAAGCCCCTTGGACTTAGGAGCTTGGTTAGTGGGACTGTGGGGACCTAGAAAAAAGCTGAGTTGAGTTGAACTGGGCTAACATAGATTTTGTGCATGGACAAGGCTAGATACTAGCCGGGATATATAGCGTACAAATAATGCACGTGCCAAGTCTTTAAAACATACACACACAAAAAAAGAGTTAAATTCAAGCCAAAATCTAGTCGTGCAATTGATCCCTAGTATTAAGCTTTCGAAATAAACTAAGGTGTGAGTTAAAAAAGAATTTGTAAAAAGCTTATATGATTTGTGAGTAACCTTATAAGATAACTAATAAGTTGATTCTTATGTTGTACTTCGAAACTAATAACCTATAAGGTCATTTTTAGCTGTCGTAATTACATGTAATATTTTAGATTCTTTATTTTCTATTTAATTAAAGGAGATTTACTTATAAATATTCTTTAAATGACTTTGATGATATAAAAATTTATTTACATGAATGATCAATAAAACGTAAATCTTTTTTAAAAAAAAGCAAAAAAATAAAATGGGAAAGGAAGGGTCACATAAAATAGACATTGAATATATTTTTGGTAATCAAGTTAAAGATGATTTGTTCATATATCTTTTTCCTACAATTATAGGTGGCAAATGCGTATGTGTGGGGTGTGTGGAAAGGGCCAAAGGGGATTGAGATGAATTTGAACGCATCAAATTATGTTGAGTTAATAAATAGACGAGTTAATTGATTCGTCTAAAAATTATTTGGGTTAAAATATTGGTTATAATCTAATCTATTTAATTTTTATTAAATTTTAATTGTTTTGTGCTTTTATAAGTTTTTCGTATTTTATAAGCTTATTATTTTTTATTTATTATGATTATATATAAATAACATATTCAATAAAATAAAATATCTTTTTAATAAGATTTCTCACAGATTAATTTGAGCTAAATATCAGGTCAAATTTTAATGAAATAAAATGAATTGAGCTATTATATGAGGTCTATTATAGGCTTGTATAAGGTATCCTTCATTAAATAGTAATCTTGACTTATAAGGCCAAAATTGGTAGGTAAAACTTAAAAGCAGGTCAGTTTCTGTATTTATATGTGTTATTATCAGGAAAAATGAAATTAAAAAACAAAATTGCAAAAAGTTTTTAGCAAAGCAAAGTATTTCAGTATTGCAGATGCAATAATTAAATTAGTAAATTTTATCACATGCATGTATCTTGGAAGAATAGGCACCCAAATTCATCCCCACCCCCTCCAAATAATATCTATAAATGATTTATTTTTGGTAATATATAGATGGACATTACCATATGTAAATTCAGGTGCATATGATGTAATATGATATACATGACAATGCAAGCATTTTCTATCTGAATTAGAATAAATATGTTTTCGAACCTTCTCTTTAAAATTTTCCCACAGGTTGCCTTTAAGAATCAAGATGACTTAAGTTAATTATTTTGAAACTTGTGGAGAAATTTCTTCAAATTTGTGGTAAGCTTCTTATTCAACATAATTTTTCGTGAAATAATTAAGTTTTTTGTTAGAGAATTTGAGATCTTAAAAATAAGGGATTTAATCTTTTGAAATTGGACAATAGTTAGTAATGTTCTTCCGAATAACTGTGGCATTCTCCTCGACTAATTTTAAAGGATATCTTCAATTTTAGACCTTTAACAAGTATTTGATTATGTGTTTTATAAGCTGCAAGAGACATTAGGAATTTTCCTCTTTTCTTGGTTTTGAAGAACTTTAATTCATTTATATATGTTTTATTTGAGCTTAAGAAACACTAAAGCTTCAAGATTTGCACATAAATTTTAAATTTTTATTTCAATTTATTTTGTTGAGATATTGTGAGTAGCTTGAAGTTTGGTGAAACATCACCTTAAGTAACTTTAAATTAATTTGTTGTTACATTGATTTTGTTGCTACTGATCTATGACTTGCTTTTTTGGTTGAGAAAGTATGTCTTGAAGACACTTCAACAAATTAGTTATTATTAGAGGGTATAAATTATAATTTTATAGTTGGATTATGAATATGTTAAAAATCACATTGTTGTTGTGTGGAGTATTTTTGTAAGATAATTTTGGTGAAATTTGTATATATTCTTAGTGTTTTTTTTTAAAAGCACTTATTTTGAATAATTCTAAAAGGCTAAAAACCACTTATTATGAACCGAAAGACATAGTAAATAATGAACGGTCAGTAAGTGAATGTGTAAATATAGCTAAATTACATTAGAATTTACGCGTTTTTTAGTATGGACATATGAAAAAAGAAATAGATATCGCTAAAATCTAGCTCATGTTTCTCTATTCACCTACGTATCAATATAAAAATGCCTGCAAGTTGCAGAATTTTTTTTAAAAAAAAACACGATAAAATTTATTTCCATCACATTATTCGTGGAATCAAAGGTTTTATTTTAATCACGAGGTAAGAAATCCACATTTATTCTTTTTCAAAAAAACTTTCTCAAATTTAATGTTGCTTTTTGAAGAGAAAAAACAAATTAATGTTGCTATTTCTTCCTTACTATTCTGTTTAATTGATGCAATTTACCTCAATTAAACAAGAGTTTATGTTATATCTCAAATATCAACAGGTAATCCATCTTAAAATAAGATATTTGTAATTTTGAAATATAAAAATATGTTAATTCAGTGCACTAATCATGTATATTACCTAAACATATTAAACAATAGGCTAATGCATGTTGTTTTTAAATATAGAATATATATATATATATATATATATATATATATATATATATATATATATATATATATATATATATAATATTTTTATAGATTTTATGAAGTCTCTGATGATTTATTTTTTGTTTAATTATTTGTAGTAGAAGCATGGAAATTACAAAAATATTGCAAGGATTGTGCCTACTGATTTGTTGTTTGATTATGCTAAATGACAAAGTTGTAATTGGAGAGGATGAAACCATGGTTGATTTAACTATTCTTGAAAGTGCAGTGTCAAAAGGAGCTGGTAAAAATCTTTTCTTGTATATATATATTTTTATTTTTATTTTGAAATATTATAAGAATTTGACTAATATATGATGTTAACTTTCATATACTAAAATAATTTATAAGAATTTTTATACCATCAAGTGATAATGTGTATATATACCTGAGTTGAATTCCTTAGTTATTTTCCTAATAATAATTTATGCAATTATGAATATTAAATTAATAGACGATTGGATGAATTAAAATGAGTTAAACTAATAAATAAGTCATTATCCAACTCTGCCTGGTAAATTGGGTTGAAATGAGTTTAATGATTGATACGAGGTGGCTAAACAATGATCAATATATAATGGCTTAATTTTTATATGGATTGAATCTAACT